TATGCTGCCTCCAGTATTTGAGTTGCTGGTGCCATGGAGGTTGTTGGTGCTGCATCAGCCTCCTCTGTGAACCCAGAAGAAAACCACCCCACATGTGAGGACTGTGCTTGTGCAATGGGTACATCTGTGTGTTATCTACAAGCCCGATTCCTTATGGACAAAGCAAAATCAGGGTGAATTATTCTGATGGCAAACTCTGTCTTGTCTGGGGTCAGTGGATAGGATGGAGATGGGTAACAGCCAGCTGAAAATTCATCTTGGAAGTGGTACTTCCAGATGGTGACAGCAGGGTAAGGTGCTGGTGTGCAAATAAATGGCACTTAAAGAGACTTAAAAAGCACTGGTGGAGGTAGCATTTTCTTCTAGCGTGGATTCAGCCTACCAGGCTCTTACTCCCTGAGAAAATGTGCAAAACTGCAATATATACATAAAACACCTGACCAACCTGTTGCCATCAGCCGTGCCTCAGTTCCCAATCATCTCGAGAAAATAAGATGCAAATTATCTACATTATCTTAAAAAATAATGGGAAAGTAGAATGAGAAAACAGCAAGGTGACAGACTATTCGAAATGGATGGATATTTGTGAAGGGAATGGGTATTAATGGACCTAAACTTGAAAGACAACTTCAAAAATATGGAAACAATGTAAAGTGAATTGTCAGCTGTGATAGTATGGGTTTTGACTGTAAAATTATTATAGCCCATAATGAATCCATTAAGAGTTCACCTAACCCCATTCCTCCCAGATAAACTGATATCAGACATAACTTTGACTTTAACGTTGACTTATTTCCTTATTGCCTCTGGCAGCTGATCAGATGGAATTAATATTCTGCGTACTGCAATATATATCTGATCGTTGGGGTTTTAAATTGCTTTGTGTGGATGAGTAAGCCCAGTTTTTATGTCACCCTCGTGAGAAAACCTGAGTCCATGCTGGCTCTGCTGGGTCAGCAGGGTGAAAACACAGGGTGGTTAGAAGATCAGACCGTGCTTCCTGTGAACAGGCCTTTTCAGAGGGACTGTGCCCTTCCACAGATAGAGAATTCTTCATAATAAGGCAGAAAAAAAGGTTAGACCTGTATCTAGCATAGCTTTTAGTCCTGAATGAATGAAACCCAGTAGGAGAATGCCTGCATACCCTCATGCTGACACAGACAGATCGAGCGCAATTTACAGCAAAATTGTTTAGAAAAGAAAAAAAAAAAAAAAAATGACAGCACCTGAGCAGACAACACCAGCATCTTCATAGTGGGCACAGTTGTGTATCCTCCACCCAGTGTGATTGCAGCGCAGCAGGGACACCTCATCTCCAGCGCACCTCACGTTGTCCAGCAGGATGTAGCCGGAGCCTTGCCCGAAGTACGCGCTTCCTAGAGCTGCAATGGCCTTGCCACAGCCCAGCTGCCTGCACACAACCTGGGCATCGGCAAGGTCCCAGAAGTCGTCACAGACTGTCCCCCACCGTCCTCTGTAGTAGATCTCCACGCGGCCTTCGCACCGGTGCCTTCCGTTCACCAGCTGGAGATAGGGCGCTTTGGGAGAGAGGGAATCCAGCACAGACCAGTCAGACAAATAATCTGGAAGTGGCTGTAAGGAGTATTCTGTCCTCTTGCCCATGGTCCCAAGAAAGTGCTTGCCCAGCCCAATATTAAGTGCCTGTAAGGACAGGGGTTTATTCACACCTTTTTTTTTTCTTTTTTTAATTCCTCTCTTCCGGATCTCAAAATCAGCTGCGTGTATTTTACGCAACGTTCCCACGGTAAAGACAGACAGCAGGCTAAGCAAAAACTATTTAAGCAAGAAAGGACATTTCTTTACTAATAAGCAAACTTTAATAGGAAAGCAAAAGAGAGAAAATTAATTTCAGTTTCTCAATGAAAGCTAAGTAAATCTATATTAAGAAAATAGTATATTCTGTATTTCTCTCCATGGTTTAAATGATTTACCTGGAATTTCTATTCTTCCTCTAGAACTTTCAGGAGAATTTTAGGGACATAGAGTTCACACATCAAACCCAAATCCTATTCTTTTTAAGAGTAATTTTACTGGAAGAATTCCACAAAATGTTCTACGGAATGGACAATGGTCTCAACAGGAGGATAAAGATTTCAGTAGGAATTCAGCAGCTTTATTTCTTTTATACAATTGAAGTGTAATTAGATTTTTGAAATAAAGAAATAACCTATCATGTATAGGTCTGATTACTGCATTCATTCAGGTAAAGCACATCTGCTTTTAAGTTTGACTTGGTTTGTTTAGACATTCTACTGTGAGCAGCATGAAAATCCTGATTTTAGAGAATCATTTTTGATGAAGACATTTATTAAAGCCTTTACCACCAAGTGTAAGTGAGCAAACAAATGTAAGTAACTTAAGATTTGCAGTACTTACACTTTGGAATTCAAAAAATGCACACTGCACTTGTTATCCTTTGCTTTTCTGCCAAATGCATATTTGCCTTGTTATTAAACGCTAAGTCATCCAAAGCAAAACAAATCTCAGGAGTTAACAGCTCCAGGGTTTCTTCACTGCATCTAATTCTTTGTAATTGGACTAGAAGCACAGTCAAGACAGTGGCCAAACTAAATTTGTCATGATTTGTATGCATTTCAAAGGGAGACGCTACAAAAGTGCCCCTTGACTTGTGTTTGATTTCTTTCTTCAAATATCTACTTGAACTTGCACATTTCTGAACCCCGCTCAGAGGAGTTCTGAGAGGTGACACAGCAAACCTGGCAAAAAGTCAGCGTGGGATTAGGAAATTAAAGCTGATCTAACCCGGGTTTATTTGCTTTCACTCAAGGTCTGTCATCACTGTGAGAGCACAGCCATCAGCTGGGGATGCAGTGAGATAGGCTGAGTCCCGCCTCACGCTTCAGAGGCATCAAAAAGACAAAAGCCTGTGATTTATACAGCAAATGCTCTGCTGCAGGAGACAGAGGCAGAGGGCAGAGAGAAGAAGTAGAGCAGCCAAAAGAGAGATGGCTCACCAGCAGGCAAGCAGAGGACAGGTGGAGGAAATCGGATGAGGTGGATGATGGCAATATAAATTCCCATCCTGATGCTGAAAAAACTGGTTAGAAAAATCATCAGCAATTATTCTAAGATATACACAGAACTATTTAGCTCAAAAAAGTCACCCAAGTCGCTTAGGAGATAGAAAATAATCACGTAAGGAAGAAGTCAATGACCATAGAAAAGTTCAACTAAAAGCATTTCCTCACTTTCCTTATTTTTAGATGTCCACCATTTACCCACAGTGCTAGAGTAAGAAAACTTTACTTCTTGCTGTATTTTGTTAAATTTTACATAAGACCAAGAAGAACTAAATGATACAAGTAATATTAAATATATAGCATATACATGGAATAAATATACACTGAAAATAAATAAATAAATAAATAACCATTTCAATGATTCTTAGATCGAATTTCTGGAACTGAATGGAATGACTCGTTCATGACATACCCACAGATGCAATTCTTGAAGTGATGCAAGGCACTAAAGTACAACCTTGTGACAGCAAAATGGACTCCACTAAATGGTTCAAAACATTCTTACCATTCACTCTGGTGATTAGTTCATCATTTTAGTAGAACAAAACTGTGCTACCTCTTCCGTCTAATTCCTTCTTTAACCTTTTTCCCAGACCGATACAAACACAGATCTAAATTCTGTTCGCGGAATCAACAGACAGGCTCCAAGCATTAAATTTTCTTATGCACCCTGGAACAAGCCAAAGTGGTTTTTACCTGTTTTGGCCTCCAGAACTGCTGGACCCAACAGGAGTAGCCATGTCAAAACCGTAGTGGTACCCATCTTACCAAGTGTTGCTGATAGAGAGGACCTCAGAATATATAGTCTCTATTTCTGAAGGGGAGTGGCTCTACAGGTCTCTTTCTCTACAGGAGAACAATAAAACAACCACAGTCCTCTGATCTGAAACAAACATATGTTTGATTTGTTATTTAATATTTTGTAACTTCCTGGGTTTTGCAAAAAGATAACATCTCAAGAGTAACATTTTCCATTGCCTGGAAGGAAATATTTATGCTACCATAGGTTTCACAATCATCTCATTGTACAAAAAAAAAAAAAAAAGAATGAATGAGCTCCTATCCAAAGATACCTTTCAATTCCAGCTGATGAATCTCAGTATTTTTCTTTCATGGGGAGATTCCCTGTTGGCAGGTATTGGGATGGCAGCAGAATCTTGAAACTTCAATGGGCTCCTTCCAGCAAAACAGTAAAAGAGACTTTCCAACCAGTATGATAAGTCTTCCTGGGAAGTCAAGAATCTCCTAAAGCTTCAGCATACTTTAAATAAAATAAGATTAGACCCGGTGGCCCTGTTGAAGTGTGAATGGGGAGTCTCTGAAGAACCCTGCGATTGAAGTCAACACCTCCACCCCCGCAATGAACCCATTCTTTTTTGGCACATTTAATTTCAAGCCAAAACTCAAAATTCACTGAAAGGCTGTGAGATAGGAAAAAAGTGCCAGAGAATCAGGGTCAGCTGATTGATAACCTTTTGTGCAAACACTGTAGAAAAGTGAGTAGATTTTACGCAGAGTTAAGAAAATTACGTAGCTTGCAACTTCATTTTGTTCTAAAACTTCCTTTGATGCTTTGAACCAACAAATGAGGGGGGAAATGTTCAGATTTCTGTTAAGAAAGTTTCTTAATATATTCCTTGTTTAATTTTGCATAGTGACAGTTACAGCTGTGTCATTCTTTGAACAATGAATCCAAAGCTTTTCCACAATATGAAATAATGCTTAATTCTTGTTCACCACTCTCTTGCCAGAGTGGTTACTTTCCTCTCTTTCTGTGTTTTAACAATTTAACAAGAAAAAGCTGTTGAACACCCTTACCCTGAAGAGCCAGAACGTTGTTCTCCATCTCATTCCTACCTCTACAGCCACCATGTCTTGGATGGAATCATCCCAAGTTAAAATTGCTGCCATATAAAAATTTGTTGCCTCCAGGGACAGCCATCAGGGATGAGAACCGAAGGCCAAAGGAAAAAGAGAATGATCTAGAAGGCCTTTCCACAAAGGCCAACGTTATTGGAATGGAAGAAGGAAGTGTGAAATACAAGAGGCCAAAGACAATGTTGGAAACCTTGAGAGTGAACACTGAGAAGGGTAAATATGTTTCTTCTTTGTCCAAACAACCATATTTGCACATGAATGAGGTTATGTACACAACACCTGGTATTCACTATTCATATTCTTCTGGTTTTGACACCTTGAGAAGGCGCAGAAAAAAATCCAATACAGCTGACTGGCCAATCAAACACTGCAATCGGTGAAGCGAGAGTAAGTGATGGATCACAATTCTTCTCCAAACTCCTGCAATACCTGAAAAGGGTGAGGAGGAAGGGGAACACAAAAGGAATTCCCAGGTGGTTCAAGTGTAAAAAAACATCTTAAGCTGCCCAAGTAAAAGGACAAGATTGCTTAATTAATTCTTCATTACACTCCTCTCTAATGAATTCTTAATTTCAAATATCTAGATATTTCTAAATATCTTTCTAGACATTATCAGACAATGTCTGCATGTAGAAATAGATAAATGGTATGTTCCAATTAACCTTAATTAATTCATTAATACAAATACTATACAGCTCATATTTTCACCCTTCTCATTGGTTGGATTAGTCTCTTGCAGTAACAGATCCACAGACTTCTGAAAAAAAGGAATGATAGCCTGAATCCAGGTGTTATGATGCAATTAGGTGGTTTAGTCTAATTTATTGGGTTACTTGATGGCCTCTTGGGCTCCGTTGCCTGTGTCATATGACGTACATCATTGCAAACTGATCTGCATTTGGCCAGTGGTGAGGATGCAAGTGGATCAGAACTGTCCACCACTGGATTTATTGGTAGATTTCCCAAATGAGGGAGGGCAGGAGGTGGGAAGGAAGGTCTGTGGCAGAGAAATCACTCACCAGGCACATGTAATTTAGAGCATGGCCCTTTCATCATCATCAAACGCAGCCCTTGCTGTGCTGAGCAGATCGCTGGATTCCCCCGAGTCTGGACAATGTCTGCTCTGCACAACAGGACTAGATGAAAGGCAGGTCACCCTCCTGGATCGTTCTGCCCTTCAAAGGTGGCTGTAAGCAAAGAGGAGGGGAGGACCCTCAATCCTTGTTCCTCATGTGTGGAAAACAACTCACACTTTCTGTGTGCAGTGCCAGTCCCTTTGTGTTTGATCCCCTCTCCAGAACATGGAGAGCTGATGAGAGGCCTGCCTGGAATCATGAGAATGGTACAGGCTCTAATGATGATTCCTGTCAGAGCTGCCCACATCCTCCTTGTCAGATCAGGATGTCACCCTGGAGTACAGCACACCTTCCTCACACGTCACTGCTTTGACTCTGGCTCACCTCACACTCGGCACATTACGCTGTTCCAAATGAACTTACCTCTTTCACAGCTGGCTGGAAAACAGGAAAGTCTGAAGAAGGGCATTTCTCAATCAATACCAATGACCTTTTCACCCGTATTAAGTGGCTTCTTCCGAACAAATTCTTCCTTTTTTGTTGGTTTTATTTTGTTTTCACATGGGGATAGGAGACAGGCCACACTTCCTTATGGCAACTTACGTACATACTCTCCCTCCCCCACTTCACAGGTGTAGAAATGTGTGAGAGCAAGAGCAGAAATCATTGCTTGAAAAAGTCACTTTGTCAGAAGCCACATTTTCCAGCCTGATAATGTGTTAGCCTTGAGTTACACACAAGTGCCATGTTTGCCAGTACACAAAAAAGAGCATTACTTAAAAAAAAACAAAACACCAAATATTTTCTTTTATGCTTTTATTACACACTTATCTGACAGATTTGATTATATTCTTCCTCCATACAAAATCTTATAAATGGCCTACATCTACTCAGAGAAACATGTACTTGGGAAGAACCGTACCCCCCAAAGTAAGGGTGGTTGTACAGGAATACTTCTTTATGTGCATTTTTGCTTATGGCTCATTATTGAGATTTATTTACTGCAAAGTAACATTTCTGTTGGACTACTTCACAGGGTATCTCATGGTGCTACACAGGTGTTTTATCTGCATATCAGCAATGGCCAAAGTTCTTTCTCAGATCACCTAAATCAGACAGACACTCCACCAAGGGTTCAGCTGAGATGCCCTGAAATGTCCAGCATTGAAGATGCTTCTTTGAATGCTGGGGTGGAAGAATCAACCTTTCTTTACACCTCAGGTATGCTTGGACTAGATTTTAAAGTCAGACTGCTTTATAAGTTCAGTTCATGGTAACATCAGGTGTAATCTTGACACAAGACTTTCTTCTGACAAGAAGATGGTGGAACAGTCAAGTAAGAGTTGCCCTTCGCACTAATTATTCAAAACCAAATAATGAAGCAGGTGGCTGCTGAAAACATCCTTCCACCTGCAAGCCCAGGCTGCCTCTCACATTATCTGGTACGGGACGGGTCTCTGCAGTTTACGCTTCAAAAGAAATCCTCCCACCGTGAGGAGAGCAGCAGCTGCCATCACCACGGCGGTGACAGCCAGGGGGACGTGGGAGCTGGCAGCAGGCACTGAGCTCGGAGACTCCCCTTTTGCCTGGATGTCAGAGTCAAGCTCTGTGCACGGAAGAGAAAGAGAGAGGCTTTTATACTTGCTTTGCTGACCTGATTAATCTCAAAGGTGATTAGGCAAAGAGAACTTGAATTACAGTGCTGTGATCTGGGTTAGATCAGAAACCAAATTGTTTTTACTGCAAATGATTCGGTGGCCCCGTGAAACAAGTAAAGATTATGGCAAGAAACTAAAGAGTAACTGAGAGTCTGTAATGATTACACTCAAAAAGCACAAGATGCCATTTTCTGACGGTGGAAAGAGCGGATACAGGGAAGCAACTTGTCGAAGGGGACTTAGAGATGGATTACTAATGAATGAAAGACATGCCAATCAGGCACAGCCAGCTTTGGAATATTAATACAAATCCAGCAGGGAGATGAGTTATAGCTCATCCCTCTTTCTGCAGAGCTGAATCAATTGTCATTTGACATGTGCAGAACAAAGAGTGGATCTGAACTATGACAGAAAGGAAACAGCTGGTAAACCTAATATAAATATTATATTAAAAAAAATACAATCCCCCATAAGAATCACAGCAGAACTGCAAATAAACGGGGTTTCGCGTCTGAACCGCAATGCAAACACACAGTAACACACAAGAGTCTTATGTTATTTAGGATATTTAAACTTACCAGTGTTCCTGTTCTCAGCGTGAGCTTCCCGAAGCTGCACGGGTCCAACAACAACATTCACCAGTTTCTGGGAAGAACCTGAATTCCTCTTGGGCCTCCTAACACAGCCCTGATAGCAGCGGGAGGAGATGTCTCTGTGCCTGCACACCACCAGCTCACACTGCAGGTAAACTGACGGGTACTGCTTGGCGAAGGAGAAAGCGTTGAACGAAAACCGAGCCACGCTGCTGCGCGGGGAGGGGTGGGAAGAGTAGGTAGGGTCCTCAGCACACCTGGGAAGACATAAACCCAACAGGTTAGCTGTTAACTAATAGCTGCTCTGGAATAGAAGCACTATTAGCATCACCTTTGTGCAATAGGTTTCAGGGTTAAATATAAAATCAGGCATCGGAAGGACTAAGAAAAGCGTGCGCTTTTAGCAAGTAGAGGGATTGTTAGGTGTACACAGCACAGAAATTTCGGAGCTCAACAAAGTTTGTGTAAATATGGGGAGCTGAAAAATGACTAATGGTTCTGCTGGTTTCTGTGTTTCAGCTGAGAACCTGTTCTGCATTTGAAAATGGGATTGCCTGTGTGCAAAGAGGCCCCTGATGGTTGCTGAAGAAAGTGTCCTTTTCTACTCTGGAAGTACAAAACTAATTCTAATACTTTTTTGTTGGTTTTTTTTGTTTGGTTGGTTGGGGTTTTTTTGGGTTTCTTGGGTTTTGTTTTGTTTTTGTAGTTTTGTTGTTTGGTGTTTTTTTTAATAAACATGTTTTTAGTGCCTCAGTGTCCCTTGGTACAAAATTAAGCAAAATGTTTTGCATTTCTGGAATAACAAGAAAAGGCTAAGAGACTTCTTTTTGAGTAGACAGATTTTTATTCTAGCTATGATACTGTAAAACTCTAATTGTGATGTATGGAAATGTAGAGCCACCGGCATCCCTACATTTCATACATTGATTTCAGAAACAAAACCAGACCTCAATTTCTGCACTTGAGGAGAAATCTCAGTGCAGATCTTTGAGTGAAATCTCAGGCCTTGACTGCAACTTCTGAATGGCAGTTCTTTGTCATACTGTATTTTATTCGGGCTTTGCCAAAAGGTTGTTGTTAGAACTACATTTGTACTGAGGGTTGCAACAACTGTACACTGGCTCTAAATCACCTCTTTCACCAATTAAGCTCTTTCAGAACTATCCATGTACTTTCAAAGCAACTCTTTGGAAAATCCTTACCCCCTTTTGATCAGTTCATAGGTCGTTGTTCTAAAATCGCTAGGATCCGGTGATGCCACGCAGGTGTCCACAAACACTATCAGGTTCTGGTCAGAGCTGTGAAGAGATGCTTGGAGGAACAAATTCTGATTCAGGTCAACGTAGTAGGGGAAGCTCTGCACCGGCCACAGGAAAGATGAGGAGTTGTAGAACGCCAGGTTGACGTCGTATCTGGCATACTGGGTTTCATTGACATCAGCGATGTCATTGGCCATGTACACTGCTTGCACCCAGGTGTTCTGGATCATTTTGCAGTTGACGTGCAGGTGAAGGTCCTTCTGCCTTTTGACGGTGTAACTGGGAGCAGGTGCTTTTATCACGTTGGAGTAGATGATGGTTTCGTTGTCGCTCTATTTGACACATTAAATGAGTACAAAATTACCACGTGTGGTCACGTTCACTTGTGCACTATAAACTTCTGTATGTGCCAGGTTTTAGAACTAGTCAGAAAGACCATGCCATACTCAAAAATACCTAAGCATCTGCGTGGCATTGCTCACTTCTTAACTCTCCCCTCTGCCCTTGTTCTCTAAAACATCACCCTGAAATAGATACAGAGATTTCCTAAACCCTGGAAAGGATAAATAGGAATATTGAGCAAACTTTAGCCTCCAGAAACATGTGATTATCTCCAGTGTTTTGAATGCCTGTGGCCTACTGCACCCTTTGCAGTTCAAGATGGTTTTCCAAGTGTCTATTATAAATTCCCATGCCCAGAGCTCCCCCAAAACGCGCCGACACCAACCCGTCTGTGCGTGCCGCAGCCGTTGTAGGGAATGTTGAATATCACCGCCGTTGATGTAATTGTTGGCCTGCAGTTGGAGTCAGGCAAGCTGATGCTACTGACTGAGTAGCCCTGTGACTGGAGATAGCCTCTGTCTACAACTGCTCTCATGGAGGTGGGGTAGCAAGCAAGGGCTAGGGAAGAACAGACGAACTATTAGAGATTCCAGGCACTTGATAACGCCTGCAAATTGCAACTTCAACAAATGCAATACCTGCTATCATCTAAAGATAAGCCATACCACTTACTTTCACACTTTAGACTTGGATATGAGGAAGCAATAGTCTCTGACGTACTTCAGCTGACCTTCAGTTACTCCCCTGGCAAAAACACGGGGCTTACAATAGCTTTTTTGCTTAGACCTTGAGCCTTTATCACCACTCACACAAAAAAAATTGCTAAGAAGTGAGAGTTTTTCCTGAACAAGAATCCAAAATATATTGTGGAAGGTGTAGAGCTGAAGTTTCAGGCTGGTTCAAAGAAGCACAACTTGGCTGGGGAGGGGAGGGGAGGGGATCCTGATGCTGTCTCTGTGATGCTTCACTGAGTCCATGACATGAAAAGCAAGGACTCCATGGAGAGTTTGGCCTTTGGTGGAGGGAGATGTCTGATAACAAGGACCTACTGGCAACACACAGCCTCTTGAAAAGCAGGTAAAAAGACAAGAGAGGCAAATGCTTGTGCTGGGGATGATGTGAGTGTGCTCGAGATACACCTTAGCATTGGGACTGCAGGACACTACTGGAACAGGTCAACCAGAGAAATAGTTAAGAGAATTTCTTCCTTTGGACATTTCTAGAGACACAGCTAGAAAAGTTCAGAATGGACCTGACCAGGTGTTGGCAAGACCTCTGCTTTGAATATTTGGACAGGGAAACCTCCAAAAGTCCTTTCTAGCCAATATTTCTACGATCCTATGAAAATTTGCCCAGAAAGGTACAAATGTATGAATTGTGATGTGATACAAAGAAATATGAATTTAGAAAACATGATAAAAAACATCTAGAGGCAATTAGATTGATACCTGAAGATTTTTTTAAGAAGAAAAAGTAATTATTGTCTGAAAGTGACTGGTCAATAATTGGTTACAAAATTCAAGTTGGAATGTCATCTATGTGGGATTTCTTCAACCAAAGCAAACCATACTTATATGGTAAACAAACTCAGTGTCTAAAAACTTATGAGAAAAGAAAGCATTACAAACAGAAGGGAATTATGAATAGAAGGGAAACTTACTGGCATTCTGGTCTGCTGGGAAGGACTCATACTGAGCCCGAAACCTTCCATTGGAATATCTGGAGTCGCTGTAAAACTTGACAGTCATAAAGTTTGAGGATGACCTGTATGTGAGTTTAGAAGTAGAACAAATTCTTCCAAGTAGAGGTGAAGTATTGGGTGGCCCATCATAGATCTCAATGTAGTCATACAGGCATCCACCTCGCAACCTGTGGAAGAAATTTGAACGGATAAGGAAATGCATTTGGTAAACTTCGGGTTTTAAATGCTGAGCAAACAATAAAATAAGATTCTGCATTCACGCAATTCCCATGTGTATTTATCATTCACTTAGAGGATGGGAAACGTGCCCAGGAACTGTGGATGCAGTTGAGATTTTGAATCTATTTATTGCCCAGCAGAAAGTGGTTTACTTACTGAACACTTTCAAATGTGAGCATAATGCGGAAATTATTTGCTACTTGTATTTCCCACAAACAATCAGCTTTCTCTGGATAATTCAAAGGATAAGGACTCTCAAATGTCCCGGAGGGAGTAAAAAGTGGACTGCCACAAAAGAATCTTTTGTCTAAAAAAAAAAAAAAAAAGAAAAAAGAAAAGAAAAGAAAAGAAGACATGATTCACTTAGATTTCATTATGATAAAATAAAATATATGGTATATAAGCAAGCCAAAGCAAGAGGAGGTTAAAATCTCAAAAGAAACTGAATGGTTGTTCTCTTCGAAGACTACAGGTGTGATTATCTCTTCAGAGAATTATGACTGACCCTTGCAGTTAGGCTTCAGTCATACATGTGTCAGGGAAAGTCATGTCATGGCCCAAAAACCTTTCATTCAGAGGAGAAACAAAAGAAAATCTCCCACACAATCAACCTAGTCTGAAATCCATCCCCAGAAACACAGTCACTCAAATGGTAAAGTCCCGTGTGCAGGATTTAAACAATATCAATAAGGACTTTTTCCCCTAAATATTGCAAAATGCAAATGTTGCACCTCCCACCTACTAAATAGCAACTAATTCACCTCCAAAGTAATGACTCAGAGAAATAGAAGAAAACACACCAACCTGGAGTAGTTGTTGTAGGGAGAGTGCTGCTCACGGTTGAGGTATCTGTAAGGGAGGAAGAGAAAGAAGCAAGTGAGGCTCTGGTGGATGAAGAAGCATGGCCAGGTTTTCTCCCCAGGCTGGGGATGTTGGTGCCACCCTGTCACAGGGGCAATGGAGAGCTTAGGGCTCCTAAAATGGAAAACTTGAGGAGACCCTCTAGCACACAGGCTTCTGCTCCTGCTGGGGCCTTGGCAATGCTCTGTGGGTCCCACCACTCCCACCGCCGGCTTCATCAGGCTCTGCTTTTCCCAGGCTCTGCCCTCCCACACAGAAGAACAAAGGCCAACCCCTGCAGCACTCGGGGGTTCCGAAAAAGAAGGGGCCAGAAAAACAAGGACAAATTGAGACCCACCTGGGGAAGTGCTGGAGGGGGAGGTCCCTGAGGTTGACCCTTCGGTTGGGGTTGTGGTTGGGTATGTGGTTGGGGATGTGGTTGGGGATGTGGAGTATGCTGGAGAGGAAGAGAAAGAGGCAAGTGAGGCCCTGGTGGATGAAGGAGCTCCTGTGCCCGGGCCCCTGGATTGGGGTGGGGGAAAGCAGCAGCCACACAAATATGAACTCACATGCCGTCTGAGTGTCACATAAGTAGCCTGTTGTGGTATCTGCAGGAGAGGAAGAGAAAGAAGCAGGTGAGGCGCTGGTGGATGAAGGAGCATGGCCAGTTTTTCTCCCAGGGCTGAGGATGCTGGTGCCACCATGTCACAAGGACAGTGGGGACCTTGGGAGTCTGAGTAAAAGGTGTTGGCCCAAAAACTATAAAATCAGAGGAGAAACAAAAGAAAATCTCCCACATGATCAACCTAGTCTGAAATCCATCCCCAGCAACACAATCACTCAGACAGCAAAGTCCCGTGTGCCGGATTTAAACAATATCAATAAGGACTTTTTCCCCTAAATATTGCAAAATGCAAATGTTGCACCTCCCACCTACTAAATAGTAACTAATTCACCTGGAAAGTAATGCCTCAGAGAAATAGAAGAAAACACACCAACCTGGAGTAGTTGTTGTAGGGAGAGTGCTGCCCACGGTTGTGGCATCTGTAAGGGAGGAAGAGAAAGAAGCAAGTGAGGCCCTGGTGGATGAAGAAGCATGGCCAGGTTTTCTCCCCGGGCTGGGGATGTTGGTGCCACCCTGTCACAGGGGCAATGGAGAGCTTAGGGCTCTGAACAAAAGGGTGGTCTTGCCTGGTGGGAGCCATGAAAAACATATTCCTGAACACATCTCCAACACACACCTAATTGTGGCCAACAAGGGCCAACTGCAGAAAGAGTCCAGGCAGCTGGGGAGGAAAAGCCAAGGTACCTGAGCAAACAACACCGGCATCTTCACTGTGGCCACAGTTGTGGACGCCCCAGCCGTTGTGGCTGCACTGGAAGAGGGAGGACTCCCAGCCTGCACAGTTCACATCGTCCAGGTAGATGTTGCCACGGCCCGGCCCGAAGGCGCCTCTTGATGGTGCAGAAACAGCAGAGCCACATCCCAGCTGCCTGCACACAACCTGGGCATCCCTCAGGTCCCAGCTGTCATCGCAGACGGTGCCCCGGCCCCCCGGGAAGGAAATTTCTACGCGCCCCTCACACCGGTTCCTGCCGTTCACCAGGCTCACAGAGGCACCTTGGAAAGGGGCAGAAATGGAAAACTTGAGGAGACCCTCTAGCACACAGGCTCCTGCTCCTGCTGGGGCCTTGGCAATGCTCTGTGGGTCCCACCACTCCCACCGCCGGCTTCATCAGGCTCTGCTTTTCCCAGGCTCTGCCCTCCCACACAGAAGACCAAAGGCACTTGGGGGGTTCCGAAAAAGAAGGGGCCAGAAAAACAAGGACAAATTGAGACCCACCTGGGGGAATGCTGGTGGGGAAGATCCCTGGGGTTGACCCTTCGGTTGGGGTTGACGCTTCGGCTGGGGATGTGCTTCGGCTTGTGTAGGGTTCTGGAGAGGAAGAGAAAGAGGCAAGTGAGGCCCTGGTGGATGAAGGAGCTCCTGTGGCCGGGCCCCTGGAGTGATGGTGAAAAGCAACAGCCACACAAATATGAACCCACCTGTTGTCCAAGTGGTCCATAAGTAGCCTGTTGTGGTATCTGCAGGAGAGGAAGAGAAAGAAGCAGGTGAGGTGCTGGTGGATGAAGGAGCATGGCCAGGTTTTCTCCCAGGGCTGGGGAAGTTGGTGCCCCCATGTCACATGGGGAATGGGGATCTTGGGGGTCTGAGCGAAAGGTGTTGGCCCAAAAACCGCAAAATCAGAGAAGGAACAAAAGAAAATCTCCCACATGATCAACCCAGTCTGAAATCCATCCCCAGCAACACAGTCACTCAAATGACAAAGTCCCGTGTGCAGGATTTAAACAATATCAATAAGGATTTTTTCCCCTAAATATTGCAAAATGCAAATGTTGCACCTCACACCTACTAAATAGTAACTAATTCACCAGGAAAGTAATGCCTCAGAGAAATAGAAGAAAACACACCAACCTGGAGTACTTGTTCTGTAGGCCTTGGTTGCAGCATCTGTAAGGGAGGAAGAGAAAGAGGCAAGTGAGGCAAAAGCTCTCGAGTAAGGTCTCTGGGAATTAAGAAGTAACCAGCAAAGCCATATTCCAGAAAGATTCACAAAATTATCTTTTCAGTTAACCAAAGCCTGTCAACAGAGACAGCTGAGGGCAAATCTGCCATTTAGCAAATCTATTTTTCATACATGAATATTTGCATTAATATTTGGTCAGACTAAAGAAAATAGCTCGGATTTTTGAGTAATATATTAATTTTCAGTGACAATTCTTAGTGTGTATTTGCTAGGAATGGACAGAAAGTGCTAGGAATTCAATAAACCAAACATTGCACTCTTATTGTCAACCCAAAAAAGAAAAACACTCAAAGTTTCCATGACTGGGTCTGAGTAATACAAAGTAGTTGTGGAACTTCCTTAAATCTGTCCTTGTAATTTGAAATACCCACAGTACTTTTAGTTGTTGAACACACGTTTATCTGCAGTTGTGGTTTTGTTCTGTAAACTTAAATGTGTAGCAAAAAAAAAAAAAAAAAAAGTAAAACAAGTACAAAGAAAACTTACATTTCATATCTAAAAAGAAAAATGTATTCAAGATTTTCATGTAAAAACAAATCAGGGACATGCTTAGTCATGGTCCCTGATCTGAGACAGCATTTTAGAAGTGCTGTATATTTCTCAAGGCTTTTTTTATTTTGAGTAGCAAACACAAAAAGTACTTGGTAATTCCCACACATTAAAAAATGACTTTATACAGGGAGACGTGTATCAGAGGTTAATGTAAAAGAACAACAAACAACAAGCACTGAATAAATTCCTCCTTCACTTTTAGGTTGGGTCAGGTAATCTATATTGGGCTGCATTATTAAAATACATATTTTTGTAGGGGGAAATTATTTCGGAAAGACAGAGTAACTTTAATAAGTAATGATTCATGCGTTCTTCAAAATTGATTTAAAACAAACAAAAAATCCCAATGCTCTCTCCAACCCTTCCCATATTAAGTGACTATCTTTAAGAAATGATGTGTAAAGCCATGGGTTTGAGTCACACTGTTATGTTTATATAATGTGGTTTATTCAGATCATCCCTCATCTGAATAATACTCAGTAATTCATTGTGTGTGTGTGAGTCAGGCTGCCTACAAAAATTTCAAACTCTGGCTTGTTTTTGGTACTGCTCTTTTGGCTTCTCTGTTCTCTGCTTTTATTGCTTTAAATGTCTCTTGTTCTGACTTCCTTGGACTAGTTTTTTTTCCCCTCTGTTTTCTGTTTTTATAATTCAAGCATTTTTAACTCTTTTTATGAAAGCAGAGGGCAAAATTAGCAACACACACTATATCTCCAATATTCCCAGGGATACAATGGATGGGTTTTTATTATGTATAGCTGCAAAGAACAGTGAACAGACAGGTGTCCAGATCAGAAGAAATTCCTAGCAGGAATATAACATAATGCACACATCTGGGACCTCCTGACACTGTACAGGATGGCAACTGTGTCTTTCTATTGCACTTCCATTAAGTTATATAAAGCTAATAAGTATTGAGTTGTTCCATGTGTATTTGCAAGGTTGGAGTGTAGGTAAGCAAATATGCATTACAGCCAAAGAAACTATATTCCCTCTAAATTCCATCCTGAAAACCATAAATATATAGGAACAAAGTCTTTCAGCAGTATTTTCATGGTCACATTCTTTTTAAAATTTAGTTTAAACTATGCTGCAAGACACTACTGCAAAACAGTAATAATTTCATCACACTAATTTATCATCAACACAAATAACACTTAATCATGATATCAGTTCACAGCTTTAATAAGACAACACGATGTTATCCAATTTCAATCTGTCTTACTTCAAATCTTTGCAAAACACTGATTAAACTGGCATGTGAGTTCCATCTGTAGAACCGGCCTAGAGGAGTGACACGCCCTTTTTCCTACCTTTTCTGGAAGACTGGGGATTAGGTGAGGTGGCACCCAGGAGTGCTGCATTTAAGAGGAATGACACCAGCAAGGCCCTGGTGGTACCCATCCTGCCAGGAGATCCCAGCAAAACTGAGCATTAGCATTTATACCCTGCACCTGTAAAAGAGTGAGGCTCCAAGGGTCAGCCCTATCTCAGATCAAGCAATATTTTTTATGACTACCTGATCTTTATAGAATGATTGCATAAGAGTAGCAAAGCTTCTGTTTGCTCAATAATTTGTGCTTCTCAGGAAATAGAATTAGGGGAGAAACGAAACTCCAATCCAGCCAGAACCAGCCTATGCCCTTATTATAAATTATCTTAACTGTATGTACAGGCCCAGTGTTACCTTTGGAACCAGAATGGTGAATGTATGTATTTCCTTGCCTCAACTATCACAGTGTTATTTTCTTACTGCTAATAGATAATTACTTACTTAAGCAGACCGTAAAACATTGCAAGGTGAGGCAGTAAATTTCCAGCAGGCTTTCTTCAGCAGAGCGTCCTGGTCTTATAAATGTTTATATTTTTGTTCTCCATTTGAAACTGCAGCCTTGTTTCCCTGCTGTTTGTACATAAACAACATCATGAGTGGGATTATGTCGCATATGAAAAATAAATTAATGCCAGCTATTTGTTACGTACCCTCATCAGTTGAGCTTGCTCTGCTTTGCCAATACCTTCCCTCAATCTACCACTATGGTCCTCAGCTGCATCTGCCAGCAAGACTCCCTTCCATCCTTCAAATCACATAGTTTATAAAAGAGGAAGAGGAGTGTGGGTGGAACTAAACTCAAAAGTCCTGCTGAGCCGGGGTCCTTGGCTGGTCTATGCAAAGTCTGTGGAGCTGTAGATCACTCAGGCCACAACAGCCCATAATCCTGTTTGCTGGAGTCACTGCATTGCACTTCCACTGCTGCTCCTCGTCTGATGAGGAGAAACAGCGGTCAGCTAAAAACAGGCCAGTTGTTGGTCTAATATTCTTTTCTTCCCTCTCCTTTCAGGCCGTGCCTCTCTGTTCATTTTGGTTGTGGTACAAACTGCGACCGTAATGCAAGAGTTGACATAACTCAATATTCCTGCTGGTGTATTCCAACCTTCCTTCTGCAGAGAAGCACAGCTTGGGTCTAGAGACAAAGGGGATAAAGAGTCCTCTTTCTGCCAACCTTCACAGTGCTAGAATAGAGGAAAGAAAGACAAAAGGCATGACCCCAGAAATAGAATCAGAAGCTGTCAAAGCTGTTGCTGAGAAGAACAAACAAACTGGAGGACAATGGTAAATACAACTGATTGTACTCAGATGTTAATGAAGAAATGTAAGCATGAACATTGCTATTCACAGCTCTACTTCCTGACAAAAGCAAAAACAATACCATGTGCTCAGTGGAGTGGTCACACACTGTCGTTGGGAAGGGGCTACGAGGTCACAGTCCTGCCTCTAAATTCTTGAAGAATAAGACCTTTGTACCGACCCTGGAGCCCAAGCATCTGGAAAGCAGTTTCGCAGAGAAGGCCCTGGGGGTCCTGGTGAATGAAATGGCCACGAGGCAGCAATGTGCCCTTGCAGCAAAGTCACCAAGTGGCATCCTGCTGCTGCCCCTAACAGAGGAGTGCTGCCTGAAGGTCAGGGCTGGTGGTTCTTCCCCTCTACTCAGCACTGGGGAGACACCCGGGGTGCAGGTTCCAGTCCTGGGCTCCCCAGCACAAAAGACATGGATGGACTTACAGGAGCAAGTCTAAGAGAGATGATTAAAGAGCATCCCTCATACAAGGAGAGGCCAAGAGAAGAGAAGGCTCAGGGAGGTCTCATCAGTGTGTACAAATATATGATGGGGTGGAGTAAAGACAGAGCCAAACTCTGGTTTGTGACACGGTGAACAGAAAATTTATGGATGATATCAAGGAGGTTCAAGAATAGAGAAGGACTAAATGCACTGTGGTTAAATTTATTCACAATAATTAAATCTTCTAGGCATGGTTCTTGAACACCAACTTGGCTGACAGGCTTCTTTCCAGGCCTCAGGAATTTCAGCTGACTGGTACATTTCTGGCACATTCAGTGAAAGGTCTTTAACTTATATGAGGGCCTATGCCTTGATAACAGGCACCTTTGACTTACAGTTGCTAAAAGGCCAGCATTCTCTGTAGATAATGTGCCTTAGGTTATCTCTCTTTTCTATTCCACATGCTGACATCAGAGCAGCACGAAGTATTTTGCAAAATAAAGCACCATAAAAGTCGGCAAATAAAGGAGGTTATTAGGATGCATTCCTGGCAGCATATCAGCAATCCAATGATGTTCTCAAATCAGTAATAAATGGAAACTACTGCCTCAGCTCTTGACCACCTATCACTGAGACAGAATACCTGGGATTGGATTTGTTTTACTGTAATAAAAAGGCATCAGGAACAAGAAACCTGAAGAAGTTTGTCTAAGAAAATCAGCTTCAATTGACTCATGATATCTGCCATCAGAACTCAGCTGTTTGCTGGAACAAGTGTTCAATAAACCATACTGTTATACTTGAATTAAAGAAAAAAATGTTATCTTTTTCTATGCAATTTCAATAAAAAAATTTCAGTTTCAAACTACTGAAGACTGAATTTTTCAGTCACAGTTGACATTTTTTAGTGGTACTTAGATCTGTTGGAGACTATAGAAAGCTCTGCTGTCTCCATTGATAAACAATCAGTCTTCACAGTGATCCTGCCCAGGAATGCTCTGCAGGACTTCAATTCTTAGATATTTTCCAGTTCATTTTGTGTTGTGCACAGGTAGGTAATACCCCATCAGGGGAGCCCCCAGTACTGCTCCCATTTTTACTCTTAGTCTGCTTTGCTTCGTCCCTGCGACAGGAAAAATGTTTGGTTGTAAGTCCAAGGAGGTGGCAAAAAGCATCAGAAATCTTCAGAAGAGCTGTTCACAGGTGAAATCAATCTGTACAGCACCCATACCTACCACTAACATTTGGGTGGTGTCCTGGCTGGGTAGGGTCTCATATCCAGCAAAACCCAATAGTATGAACAGAGTCATCTCCCTCACGACATGACACACCTGCGTTTTGGTCACAAAATGAACAAAGGTCTTTGACAGCCCTGCATTTAAAGGGTTTCTGGAAAAGGATGTGAGAACAATTTCAGCAAATGCTTCTTATGGGCCACATCTGCTCCTGCCATGCATGACCATGCAGCTGCATTCCTTATATCTGCATTATATCTGATCCTCAAGCCTGGCTTTTGGCTTCCTTTTGACACTCCCCTATTCAAATCACCCTGAGTTCTCTGAAGCACTTTTAGTTGAGTGATCCTCCATCTTCTTTTTATGCCTGTTTCTTTTCTGAGCTTTACTGAGACAAAATACGCCTGGCTGTAGCAGCTGGCCACTGAAAGAGAAGCTGTGAACAGAGAAGTCGATTTGGTTCCAAGATTTCCAGCTCTTCGGTGTTTCCATCTGTTACCCTTCATGCCCTGACCTTGCCTTCAAACCAGAAAGACCAACAGGAAGGAAATGATGCTACTAGTTACTAAAGGGGATTGCTCAAGGAAAGTCATCTCTTCAGATGCCCTGAAAATGTATTCGAAGCTAACTCTCTGGCCACAATAGGATATCTTTGCCAAGGGTTTTTGTTCAGCCTATTTACCTCCCAGAACTTTACAGTGATCCAAAAAAGAAAACCAACAAACAAACCACAAAAAAAATCCCACCAAAAAAAACTCCAAAAAATCAACCACCAAAACAAAACAAAAAAAGCCAAACCAAACCAAACAAACACAAAACCCCTCCAAACAAACAAAAAACAAACAAAACACAAAACCCCAAAAAACCCAAACAAAACCACAAACACAAAACCTCAAACCAAAACAAACCACGGAAAACCCCAAAAAACAAACCTTAAGGCAATTTTTTTTTCTGGCTAAACACAGAAATGGAAAGAAAAAGCTGAATTAAGCTAATTCAAAAAACAATCAACTCTATTTCCTTGGGATGTTAGTAGATTAAAAAAATTTTTTGCTAAATTTTTATTTGTATGTTGTTCAAGGAAATTCAAAAGATAATACAGTAAGAATTCCTTCACGTGGTGTAACTCTGGTACCGTGTCTCGCTGTATTTGTGTTTCAAGTCTGGAAAAGTCAGGTTTGCTGGTTTTAGACTTTGCTCCGTTCAAGCCCCCCAAGCCTTTCATATAAATGCTTTTCATATGAAAATTGTGTGCCTTCGTTTGTCACTTAATCTAGAACTGAATTTTGTTTTTATCTATCATAATTCTTAACACCTCTTAATACTTTTTATTGCTTTTCTTCCTTGCACTAATCAAGGATCTGAAAGCATCAAGCAGCTTGACTTAGAAATGTGTTGTTGTAGTAATTAAATTCTGCACCAAAGAAAAAATTATCAATTTTGTAAAAAATCATCCTATCTCCAGTCTAATACTCAATGCAACATAATCCAGTTTTCCAAGCTGTGTGTCTTATTTTCTCTGAATCAAAAATTTAGCAAGATCGAATGTGAAGTATGTGCCATTTCCTTTTATCTTCCTTTTTTTTTTGTTTGGTTTTTTTTTTTTCCCCCCCACCTAACTGGGCAGATCATTTCTACCAGTGTGTTTTTCATGATAGGAGGGGTGCTCTACATCTGGCCATCCGAGGCAACGTGAGCTTGGCATTTACTGAGTGGATGGGCAATGACAACCATAAATATACCTCACCTTCTTCTCCCCCATTCCCCATCCCCAGGCACTACATAACAATTTGGAGGCAGGGAAAAGGAGTTAGTAAATTTTGCCCCAGCAAATGAAGTCAGTTGTACACACATAAATTTCTGTATCAGATGTTGCACGGTGGCAGCTTCGTCTTGACATTTAACCGCGAGCCAAGAGAAATCGTCAAAATCAAACATTTTAATTAGCAAATATTTAAGTAAGTGACGTGCATAACTTTTCTACTATGACTGGTCTCCCAAAGTCTTTGAAAATGACTGAGGCAGTGGAGTATTTCCCTTCACCCCTGCAAGATCAGGCATCCACTACACTTCTCACAAACCATTCTGGGGATGTTTGCTGAAGTAC